AAAGAGAAGGAAGGAGGAGAGAGAGAGAGCCACATTCAGTGATCAATGGGACTTGCACCTAACGCAGACCCTCTAGGCAAGATTACCTGTCAGTTTGTCAACAATTTTGATCCTTATTTAGTAATGTTCAAATACTTGAAATGTCATGTTTTTTCTTCATCTCACAAATTCTAGATCTTGACGGGAGGTCGGTTTGTGATTACAAACTGAACTTGAAATTTTTGCAAAGAGCAAAAACCGAAAAATAAACAGCAAACCCAAAAGCTATTTGATTCGAGGACTTTGAAGAGACCTGAAGGAAATATTTTAAATGCACTAATTATTAAAATTTGTTCTCCATCATTGATCTCAAGAGAATTCTTGATTTTATATAGACATGATGTAAATAGTATTATTTTAGAATTGTTAACTACTGTTTTTTTTATCTGAAAATTTTACCAATATTTTTTGACTCTTCAACCATTTTTTTACAAAGTAAAACCAAGCAGTGGTGTGAACTAACAGGAAAACAGCTTGTGCGCGCTCATATGACCTTAAGGCAGTAGCGAGCACCATAAAACTGTTACCAAATAAACAAATAAACAAACAGCATCTGGTCATTGCGTTTCTGCAGAACTTTCATGAATCAGTTCACACCTCTCTGACTTTTACTACTGTTTAAAAAACAAAGTGGAATAAATGTAAGTTGTTAGCTAATGACTTCACTTTGAGTTTGTTCTGAAAATTTGAAAACAATTTGCCTTTCCAGGTCGTGCGAGGAATCAAATTTGGAGAATACCGTTGTGACAAGGTAGGTAACTGTGTTGTGTCTGTCTGTCTGTCTACGTACCATAACACCACGGTGCTATCGTCTTTGTAAAACTTTGTGTGTTCTTGTTTTTTTCATATAATTCTTGTAAGTGTTATGAGTTTGGAGAGACTTGAAGAAAATATTTTATATGCAATTTGAACAATTAGTTCTCCAACAAAATTCTTGATTTTGTATAGACCACCTGTCTTTGCTTCATAATGGAGATGGCTCTAAAAAGAAAAATGTTTCAACCATTCTGACTTGCCAGTAATAACCAAAGTGAAAACTACGATTTTAAGCAGTTGCTAACATCTTAAAATTCTTACCAAGTTATGAATATAATTGTTTCTTTTATATAGCAAAAATGAACGCTCTACAGCATGCCTCTTCCATCCTTCCACGTTCCCAAACATCCACCTAACTGTTTGAATCCCCCCTCCCCACCCAACATGACGAGGACCTGGCCATGATCTCGGCCCAGCAGTACTTCATCGAGTACGGCTTCCATCCATCCTTCCATCCATCCATCCATCTATCTA